TGAGGAAGCAAAAATATTAGCAGGGGCTCTTCATGAGAATAAAACTTTATCCACCCTAGAGCTTTCCGATAATCACTTCGGCAATAATGGAGCAGAAGCAATCGCAAAAGCTCTTTATAAAAATACAACTCTAGCATCCTTATGTCTTGGTTCTAACCATTTTGATTTTAAAAGTGGAGAAGTACTTGCAAAAGCTCTTTATAATAATATTACTTTGACATCCTTAAGCATTTATATTAATTACCTTGGTGTCGAAGGAGGAAAAGCATTAGCAAAAGCTCTTCGCAGAAACACTACTCTAACATCTCTAGATCTTTATAATAATGATTTGGGTTATGAAGGAGTAAAAGCTATAGCAGAGGCTCTTTGTGAGAATACCATTTTAACATTTCTGGATATTGGTGTTAATGATATTGGTCTTGAAGGTGTAAAGGCAATAGCAGAAGCGCTTCGTAAAAATATCTCTTTAACTTCATTGAGTCTTACGTGTGATCAGTTTGATTTTAGGGAAGCTGAGATATTAGCAGAAGTTCTTTGCAAAAACACTACACTGACCTCCTTAGACCTTTCTTATAATCAACTTGGATCTGAAAATTTTGAGGATTTCGTAAGTTCTGAAGGAGCAAAAGTAATAGCAAAAGTTCTTTGTGTGAACAATACCTTAACTACTTTAGGTCTTAGTAACAATCAATTTTTTATTGAGGGAATCAAAGTATTATCAGAAGCTCTTTATAAGAATACAGCAATTTCTTCCTTAGATCTTAGTGGCAATTTTCCTATTTATGAAGCTTACGAAATAGTAAAATCATTAGCAGATGCCCTTTATAAAAACACTACTTTAACTAATTTAATTCTTTCTTGTAATAATCTTACTTTTAAAGAAGGGCAAATATTAGCTGATGTTCTTTGCAAAAATACTACTTTAACTTTATTGGATCTTAATAATAATCTACTTGGTTATAAAGGGGTAAAAGCATTAGTAGACGCTCTCTGCAAAAATACTACCTTAATGGATTTAAATATTCGTCATAATCAACTTAATTTTAAAGAATGCAAAAAATTAGCAAAAATTCTTTATGAAAATAATACCTCAATTTCCTTAAAGTTTATGTAAATTGTTGCATCGGAATTTAGATTTATATTTAATTAGAACTTGCATATGCGGTGACTTAGTCGCCAAGACTCAAAAAACAAAATAAAAATGAATATGTACATTGGTTGAGATTATATTAAATATGGGATCTTCGTATATTAATCATAGATAATATAAAAAATTCTAAAATTGTAAAAAAATTGAAATTAAAATAATTAGTAATATTATTTGCTTATTTTTAAGCATTTTGTGAGTGTTGCAAACATTGCAAAAAAAATTTATAAAATTTATGACATATTGTCTATCTAATTTTTAATACTGAATATTTAATTTTGAATAGCTTAAGTTAAATAAAGTTTTATAAAAATAGAGAATTTATTTTATTGTAAAACTTCTTATATAAATATCTGTGCATAGTATGATCAAATAAGAAAATTCTGAAACTGAATAAAGCTGTGCACTTATCAACTAATCTTACACAAAAAGGCCTATTGTAACTGAGCTTTTTAAATTCTGATACGATATATATGCTATAACTTCACAATCATCAAAGGACGAATATGATATTTGCTCAGGCAAATCAATAACTGGAATTTCTGTTTCAGATTTTTCATAAACGGATTCATAATCGTCAGTAAATTCATAATTATTAGAACCTTCAGTATATGTATCATCACTTTCAATAGTTATAAATTCCATAATAATTGTGGCAGATTAAAATGAAATCAGATTAAAATTAAATGAGGGATAGTGTA